GGGAGGGGTGGGGGGGAGAGAGCGCGCCCTAGGTCTGTCGGTCCAGGATGGGGAAGAAGGCGGTCGAAATTGGCAATGAGCTGGTCTGTTCTGTGAGTCCTCCTCACCCCGCCCCCCAGAATGGGACAGAAAAGGGGTGCATTTCTCTCGGGAAGAGTGTTCTACTGGTCGGCGAGCGCAGGGACCCTCGGGATGTCTGAGATGCGAATGCAGAATGCGCCCATGTCAAAGCGTAATGTCCACTGGGGGCGAGGAGGGCAGCCTTCGGTACGACACGAACCCTTTGGTTTGTTCGAGACGGGGCCGCACAGACGGTGAGGAGTCGGACCCGACGTCTGTCCAGAACGCGTAGCTCCTAGGACAAGACCCCCGGGCCGGGCCGTCCGGACCGCAGCTGACGCACACGTGTGCGCGGGGCCTGTAGGGGCAACTCCGCGGCTGGCAGAGTGCAGGCGCCAACTAGCGGTGGCTCCCGAAACTACTCCAGCGCCTCCGGCCCCGGCGGCCCGGGGCTGCGGACCCAAACGCCGACCCCCAGGGTCCTCTGGTTCCCGCGCGCACCTTCAGCTAGCGCCCTCCCGAGGGCGGATGCCGAGTCGGGTCCTGTGCCAGGTGCCGAGACCCACACGAGCCCCATTCTCAGGAAACCCTTCGTACACCCCCCCTCCCCGTCGGATGAGAGGGAGAACTCAGGCAGAGGGGCAAGTAAGGGCACGGGTGCAAAGCCAAACCATTAGACGAATCAAATTGACAAACCCCATATGGTGCGGGTCCTGCCCCACTGCCCGCTTCAGGGCAGCACGCGTCGACCGCCCTCCCCGGCCCCGGGCCCTACCTGGCTAAGATGCGGTGGACCTTTCGTTGAGAAGCTCCCGGAGGTCGGACGCACCAAGGCCTAGGTCCCTCACTTTCTTCTGGCTCCGCTGCTGGTGCCAGCGCTCCTGAGAGCGCTCGGGCCTTGGTGGAGGCTCTATAAAAAGTCCAGTAAGGGTCCCTCGACGTCTCTGCTTTCGAAATGGCCCGAGGAGTTGACAGGAGGATCCCAGAGGGGTAGGGACAAGCGCTCCCAGCGGTCGAGGTTGGGCCAGGTCCCGTCTGCTCTGCCGCGCGCGCTGGGCTTGATTTCGTTTGTTTACGACGAAATGGCGGCCAACGGGCCGGGGGCAGATCCAGAGCGGGATCTTGCGATCACCACCGGAGCCTACGCTTCTTTGTTCCTGAGGCTTGGAATCCGTCGTTTTGCACCTGTCGAGGGCCAGGAACAACGAATACCCTTCCCAGTCTCCAGGACGGCGGGGTCACGCGGCACGAGTTCGTTCCCCAGACTCCAGGGAGCGCATCTGGGGCGATCGCCCAGACGAATGGGTCTTCATCGGTTCCCGTTCCCCTCTCCTCCGTAGCCGGCCCCTGAGCCCGCTCGCCTGGCCTAGGAGGCGGGAGAGGAAGGGATTGTTTGACGTGAAGCCCGGGGAGTGGCTGGGCCGCGCCTCCGGGAGCGGGAGCGGGA